TGACCCAGAGGCTTAAACCTCATGCTGGGCATATCTGTGCCCAAGATCCTGAGAGGAGAAAGGAGGAGAAGGGATTATAGCATGGCCATCACCCCCAGGGGGTGATTTCTTACTTTCTGTCTCTCTTTCTCTCCTGCTAGTGCTTGCACCCTATAGCAAAAATCTCTCTCTAAAAAAAAAAAAAAAAAAATTGGATCAACTATACATAAAATGCAGTGTATTTATTTTTCCACTTCACAATTTTCTGTGCCTTAAAAAACAGTAGCAATCACAAGACTGTATCATATTTTAATAGGTTGATTGCTGGACATTTTAGGAAGTGTTCTATTTTTTTGTTATAAATAACACAATAATAATGAGTCCTGCAGGTCTGGCAGGTGGCATGGTGGTTAAGGGAGCTGGACTCCCACATGGCCAACTGTGGTTCGAGTCCCAGACCTGACAGCTTGATTTTTCACTTTCCCTTTCTCTCTCTCTTGTTCTTGCTCTATCCCTCTAAGTGAATGAATGAATGAATGAATAATGAGTCCTGCATAAATTAACTTCTTTAGGATACACTTCTAGAAGAGAATTACTAGGTCTGAGGAAAAATTTTTGTGTATACGCAGATACACATTGCTCTTTAGAGAGGTTTTTATTAATTATATGTGTTTATCAGTAGTGTGTAACTTCACAAACACTGGTTATTACTTTTTGTTTAACCAATTGAAACGACATTGTAATATCTCCTTTTAAAATTATCATCAGTGAGATTAAATAGTTTTCTGATTAATTACTGGCCATCTAAATATCTTCTTTTATGTATTCTATTCTTATTTTCTTTTTTTGAGAGGTTTTTGGTATAGGGTGCGTGCACTTGCCAGGAAGACAGATAGAGACAGAAAGACAGAAAGCGAGAAACCATCCCCCTAGGGGGGATGGTCACGCTGCAATCCCTTCTCCTCTCAGGATCTCGGGCACGCACACACATGCACCTGGCGTGAGTTTAAGCCACCAGGTTCGGGACTTGAACTGCGGTCGAATACAAGAGTCCAGCAACATAGCATTACACTAACTGCTGGTCCCTCTAGTCTTATCTTCTGCTTAGTATTTTATTTGGGGATTATTCCTGTTAAGCTTATTATTTAGAGATGATATTTTTTTTAAGTGAGATTTTTTTTTTCTATAGGGTGCATGTGCTTCCTGGAGAGACAGAGAGGCAGAAAGCGAAAAATCACCCCCCGAGAGAATGGCCATGCCACAATCCCTTCTCTTCTGTTCTACTCTTGGGATAGTGGGCACGCACACACACATGTCCAGTGTGAGTTTAAGTCGCCGGGTCTGAGACTCAAACCACAGTCGACTACGTGGGAGTCCGGCAACATAACCATCATGCCATTTGCTGGTCCTGATATTTAGAGATTATTACAGCTTCAAACTATACGCTTAGCTTTCTTCATTCAAAGCCTTATTGGAACCCTACTATGTGTCTGACGAAGTGACAGCCAAGCTGAGATTTAAATATTGGGTCATCTGAAAAGTCATGATGCATTTTTGCATTAAAAAACATAGAAAAATGCATCATGACTTTTCTGATGACCTAATATAACAGTAATAAGCAGCCAAATCATGAGAGACCTTGTAGGCCACAGAAAGAAGCCCATTTTAGCTGGACTTCCTTTTTTTAAATAATTACTTTATTTTACTTTATTTATTATTATATTTTAATTTGACCGAAGAGAGACACACAGAGAGAAAGACAGAGGGAAAGTGAGAAAGCAGGCTTCTAGGTCAAGACTCGAACCACGGTTGGCCATGTGAAGTCCAGAACCTCAACCACCATACCACCCGCCAGCCCTGAGAATTGCAGTTTCCCTTTAAACAAGGTTCCAAACACTGTCCTTGATTCTGTATTTTCTATTGTAGGTAGAAATCAGCTAATGGTTGATTTTTTAAAAATGCATTACACCTATAATTAAAATAGCAAAATTTTACATGCTAGTTTTTAAATGTTAACTACTGAGGTACAATCTTCTTACCTAACATCAATGTCTAGATTTTCTTCTTTGGATTGTCTTATACCCTCAAGTATTGATTCCACATAAGTCTTTTTAGTCATTCCTGGAAAGGACACATAGAAAACATTTGTAAAGAGATCAGCAACTATTTTAGCCTTCAACTTAAGCATCCCTGTATGAACAAATACATTTTCCCTTTATGCTGTAATAAGGGCATGGTTAATGATGAGTGAAAACATAACCCTTAATGGTATGTTTTAGTAAATGCTAATAGCACTTATAAAATTGAAAAACAAAAAAATAAGTTCCTAGAAAAAATGAAATAAAAAAATCTAAAGGGCAGGATACAAGTCTATTTTTAAATTATTTTTAGATTGAACAGACACGAAATTACTCTCATATGCTAAAAAAAAATTTAAATGTTCATTCTACCAAACAAAAAGAAGCCCTTTTCTTTTCTTTTTTAAAAAATATTTACTTAATTCCACTTGTTATTATTATCGTTTTTTAATTTGACCAGAGAGAGACAGAGAGAGAGAAAGGGAAAGTGAGAAAGCAAGCCTCCATGTCCAGGACTCGAACTGTGGTCAGCCACATAGGAATCCAGCGCTCTTAACCACCACACCACCTGCTGGCCCCAAGAAGCCCTTTTCTAAAGCATGTCCATAAAGGAAAAAAAAAAACAAAACATTTTCTCTATTAGCAGGATGTTTTACTGCTGATTCAGAAAAAATTCCTACTTGGCTACCTTTCCCCTCAATCTTCTTCATGCTCAGTGTTTCTCATCCAGGGCATCAAAGATGTTCTTCCAAATTTGAGTGCTTAAGTCCTTCTCTTTCAGGGAGTTTTGTAAGAGTGCTCTCCAGAACAAGCTCCTCTAAAATACCCTTTTACCCTCATTATAAAATGGTGGCTTTTGGAGTATCTCTGGCATAATATAGAAAATGCTAAAGAAAAAAAATAATAAAACCTGTAATCCTACCACCCATAGATAACGATTGTCTTTTTCATTAAATATGCATATACACATTTTTTAAATATGTGAGATGCTACTAGTTATGTATGTACCCTGTTCAGGCACTTACGACTATGTTCTGAGCATTTCTGCATGTTATTCAAGTGTTTTTGAACACATATTTAATGGGTGCCTGATATTCCATTAACCTTTATTTGACCATTCCCCTACTGTTGCATACTTAGGCAGGTATCTCCCTTTTGAATCTCCATTTGAAGAATTAGCTCTACTGATTCACAGGTTTCTTGTCTCCTTTCCTTTCACTACCCTCACCAGCATAACTTGGAAGTGACTCTACAGTTTAAAAATGCAAGCTAATGGGACCAACAGTTGGCGTAAATGGCTATGTGGCTGGATTCCCATGTAGTCGACCACAGTTCGAGTCCCAGACCTGGCGGCTTAAACTCACGCCAGGCACATGTGTATGCATGCCCAAGATCCCGAGAGAAGAATGGAGGAGAAGGGACTGCAGCATGGCCATCCTCCCCGGGAGGTGATTTCTCACTTTCTATCTCTTTGTCTCTGTCTTTCTGGTGAGCACACACACCCTATAGCAAAAACCTCTCAATAAATAAATAAATAAATAAATAAATAAATAAA